AATTTGCTTGGAACTATTTTTGTTGAAAGAGCAGAAATAACTGTCAATATTGTGACCAAAATAGAAGTTGATATTGCATGTATGACAGATAAAGACATTAATATTGCTTAAATATATTTAATATTTTAATTTATTATTTTTTAACATGACATTATTAACAAAATTATCTAAATGCATACATATTTATAATTATGTTAATATAATTTATATGTCTTTGCCATCACAGGAATCTAAATTTGAATGTTTAAAACATTTAAATTGTAATAATATTTCACAATATTAATGTTTTTACTGTATTTTTTTATCAAATAAATGCAGCCTTGGTGAGCATAAGAGACTTCTTTCAAAAACATTTAAAAAAAATCATAGACATTAAATATAAAAGTATGGTAACACTTTATTTTAGGGTCTCTTAACTTGTTGCTTATTAGCTTGCATATTATTAGAATATTAGCCATTTATTAGTACTAATTAAGCACATAATAATGCCTTATTCTACATGACCTTATTCTACATCCCTAATCCTACCCAATACCTAAACTTAACAACTAGCTTACTAACTATTAATAAGCAGCAAATTAGGAATTTATTGAGGGAAAAGTCGTAGTTAAAAGTGAATAAGTGTTCCCTATTCTAAAGTGTTACCAAAAGTATATAAAAAATTTGTTTGTAATATAAATGTAGTTTGCACTTTAAAATATGAGTAGCTTGCAACTTGACAAGCTGCCTTTTCAAAGTAGATTCCCCAACCCTGGAGGAAGTGTGTGTGTGTGTGTGTGTGTGTGTGTGTGTGTGTGTATGTGTGTGTGTGTACTGAACCTGTGAAGGCTGTCAGAGGGTTAAGCAACAAAGTGAGATGAATGGACGACGAGCGACAGTCTGAACTTTAACTAGGAGTTAATGGACAGGCTGGCAGAACGGACTGCACCCACAGAAGGGGTCTGATTCCCTCTGAGTCTGACCATGGCTGATTGATGGGCGGTCTCCCTCTGTTTATATTTTCCTGCCTCCCTGTCACATTTATTTCCTTTGTACAGCTCTTTCTGCCAATATGAAACAGAAATATCTGCAGAGGTGACAACAGCAATTTGTCCCAGACATGAAAGCGGAGGGAGAGTTTATGGCACAGCTGTTTTTCATCAACCTCTGCAACTTTGCGCGCTGATCTGCGGTCCGTCGGATGCACATGTGGGAGTTGAGTTCAGTTTAGCCAGTGTGAATTAATCCCACAGAGAGATGAACTTAGAACGAAAATGATGCTGAGTTTGGGAAAGTAGATTTTCTTTGTCTTTCTCCCTCCATTTTTTGTTGTATCTTTGCTCAGAAAGGGATGTCCAGTTCCAAACCACACTGCCACTGAATTTCAATGGCTAAAAGTAATATCCTAATGGGTGCATCCATCCTATTTTACAAACACAGGACAGTCAGCATTAGTGTAAGTGTGCCACATGCTCGTCCCTGCAGGGGTATGTTTGCTTTTAAAGAGGCCTGTTTTTTTTTCGACTGTAGCATGAAAATCAGCTCAACAGAAGAGTAAAAAAAGAACACATTAATATTTGAACAGCAGGGTTTCACATCAAATTAAATACATTTTCGGCACAAAAGCTCAATATGTGTGTGTGTGTGTGTAATTCTCTTATTTTTATTTATTTATTTATTCATACATTCATTTATTTATTTGCTTGTTACAATTTAGTTTAATGCTGTTAGTGGCACGGATGTTGTACACTTTAAATCGACCTTTTATTATTTGAATGTATGTAACGTAGATCTTTATTGCAGAACTTGTTGGTTTACACAGACCACAGTTCAACGTGTGAGGCAGCACTGGTTTCTCCTCACATAGATCCACTCCTGAGCACAGACCAGGAATAAAAGGAGCAAAAAAATATGTACAAAGATGCCAAAATGACCCTCCTGCAGCATAGATGGAGTTTGCAGCATTCCCCTGCTCTCTATTAGAAGGTAACGTGGTGAAAAGCCCCTCTGGCCTCCGTGCCCTCTCAGTGATACAGAAGCATAAATATGCACCGCACCCCGGGCCCTCTCCAGGCCTGACACATCATGAAAGAGTGTAAGAAGTAAAAAGTGTATGAAAAAGTGGCTCAAGGAGAGGCATTTCTTACATTTTAGATTGTGGTGAAGAAGAAGTGGTCTGTTTTTTTTTTGTTTTTTTGGGTTGAAGGCCAATGCCCTAACCTGATGAAGTAAGCTTGTATGTTTTGTGAGCAGTTGCTATTGTGCACTTGTAGCTGAAATAGAAGTTTTTGTTGCTGTCTTTAGGAACAGCAGCTGGTTGCATAAAATGACTAGTCTTACAAGTCAACCTTTTTTTTTTTTTTCATGAAAACTGGCCATAACTTTAAGTTAGTTACTGTACATAAAAAACATGGATTGGTCTAATTTGAATCCAAAAAGTAAGATTGATTACCCCTTGAATAATTGCTAGTTGGTTAGACTAGTTCTTAAGACACTGTCTTAAAATAGTAGCTAAGTTTATGACTATCTTTAATAAGATCTTTTATTGCATTTTCTTTAGCAATATTATTGATGATATTAGCACTGCACACATGTACACAAATGCAATTTTAAGTGGGTGGTTATTTCTGCATGCTTTTCCAGGGTGTGTCTTAAACAATTGCTGTCACAGACTGGAGCCCTGATACATGTAGCCAAAAACATATATCACTGTGCATAAAGCAAGAGACCCATGATGCTCTGCATCAGGATTAATGACCATGCTATGCTCAAGACTGGCCACACACTCACAAATTTACATTCTTACAGACTAAATTGGATGCTGATGAAACATTTGTGTCTTTGATCCTTTCGCTGTGGACTTTGGGACTAGAGAAGGTCCAACCCAGATTCTCCTTGAGACATACTGACAAATAATTTTTTTCTGCTTCGTTTTTTGGTTAAGCAGAAAACTATGGACAACTTTGGCCAAAAGGACAAGGACTTTGTCGTGTCATCGTGTGGCAATGCGTGGAAATGAAAACGCCTACATCAGCCAAAGCTTTGATTACGGGTGAAAAGTCTTTGACAACTTATTTATGGTCATTAGCACGTATCGTTATAGATAACATATTAATCTGCATAATGTGTTTTTAATGGCACGCTAATGACATTAAGAGGAGGCTAATTGAGTGAAGTGCTGTGTGTCTAGATTACAGCCAAAAAGCATTGTTGAAAGAGTTTTCGTACAACACATATGATCAAGTTTTTAGGCCAAACCCCCTTTGAAAACTTTCAGGCTGTCTGATTAATGGTGTTGTAGAAGGTCTGATAAACAGATTCAAGAAATGAAATATCCATTTGTTTTGTGTCAGTATGAATTGCAAGTTCATCTAAGTCTTTCAGAGTGCACTGTCGAAAAGAAATGGAGGGTTGTCGGAGCTGAGACACTAAGCGGCATGTGTGTTAATAGATCACCTGAACATTTATAGTCAAAAGCATTGAAAACATGGATGGTTTGAATATAGCCATGTGTCATAAGTACAGTACAGTACTTGTACAGTATTTGTGTTAGTGAATTTAAAGCCACACCCTTATTCAGCGACATAAAGCCATTTTCTGCATTTTACAGCCTTTGTGACACACTCCAGGTTGGAAGAGAGTTCTCTAATAAATGCCAGCTGATTTTACAGGAGAATTACAAACTACTCTCTTGGACATATGAGTCAGGATGTGAGGTATTTGTATCCAGAGCAGCGTGATGATAATCTCATGCTAGCTTGTTTCCGAGAGCTTGTTCGCATGAATCAGAGAACATTTCCCTGAGATGTGATAGAATGCTGATAAGATAGAGTTGCTTTGTGAAAGGTGCTTTTTTGCTGTCGGAAGGGAGTGCAAGTGAGTACAATGGAGCTACAGTAAAAGCTTTCCTTTCCTTTCCTTTTATGTCTCAAAATGTACAGCGATCAAAAAAGTTTGTTTAAAAATCATCCAAATCATTAAAAATGATATCATTCATACCTGTATATTGCTGCTCGAGGAGAACTTTCTATTCATCAAAGAATCTTGCAAGGAAAAATGTATAAGGGGTTCCACAAAAAAATATTAGGCAACACAACTGATGTTTTTTTTTTTTTTACCTGATAATAATAAGAATGTTATGTTAGCACCAAATCAGCATATAGGAATCATTTCTGAAGGATCATGTGACACTGAAGACTGGCGTAAAGGCTGTTAACATTTCTGATTTGGCATAGCATGAATATA